GTCCCACTGACACACAGAGCAGGTGTTCAAAGATACTTCAAGAGGGCAGAATATAAAGACCTGATTCTTCGTTCTGTTGTTCTGCTGTGAATTCATTGACTTGGAGACACTACTCCTTATTTCCATCTTCATTAAAAAAAGAGTTGGGACACTAGAGTATGAGCAACAGAAAGGGAAACAGGAAACGGAGAGAGAGAAGCTTGCTTAAAATAATTTGAAGATGATTTATTTGATGCAGCCTTGACCCTCAGTGATTTCTGGTGTTATTACTTTTCAATAGCACAGCCAGGGAGGACAGTAACTTGCTGTGGGCTAAAGGTAAATTATGATCTATTGCAAAGGTGGGAAGGAAAAAATATACTAAAGGTGGGTGTGTGGGACACATCCTTCCCCCTGATGATGTTCAGTTTGTTGGATCACTCTGGACCAATGTGTTCCAAAGCCTGGAGGGAAAAAGAAATGTCTAGAGTTAAAGCAAACCTCATGGAGTGAAGAAGGGAGGGTGAGATGGGAAGATGTTTCATTGCTGGAGCTTGTTGCACACAGACTTGGTAGTTTGTCCACTGAAGAGGAGGAAATTTGGGAATCTACAGTTGCAATGTTGTTTTTTGCCTTACAGTGTTGGCCTAAAGCTGCTGATGCAGGGATTTCTTCTTCATTTTTCAGTTGTGTTGGCCCATGTATTCACACTGCTTGCCAAATCTGTAACCCATCCCTTGGGTTGCCACATGACCTTCACATCAACTGAACCTTAAAGGTGAAAAAGTTTTCAGGTCTAGCCAGACTAAGACCTCACCAAGAATACGTTTGCACAGTATTTTCTGAGATTTGAGTGCTTTGGGGGAAAAAAAAATCACCAAAGTTACATTTAAAACATCATGTGAAGTTTTTTTTTCCTGGTTTTGGATGAAAAAGACTGAAGCAAATTCTTTTCCTATTAAATGTTTAAGCCACTTAACCCAAGATTTCAAAAAATGAGATCCCTCATTTCGGATCTTCCCTTGGAGACAGGTTCAAGACAACCTCCTTCTGCTAGCTGAGCAAGCTGTGGTCTCTCTTAGGAGCTTTTGAAACCAGTGATATTGGTCTTTCTACGCATCACAACTGCTACTAATAGAAGTGTGTGTTTTGGTGAATGGAAGATACTTGTGGGTCTGGATTCACTGCATGTTGTTTTGGACATTTGACTGGGAATCTGATAATTCAAAGTGCTTTTTTTTTGCACTCAGAGAAGGATGATGGTCCCTGCAGAAAGTGTTTTTCTCTGCTTGTTATGGGGTGTGCTTAAGAAGAAAGTGTTTCCTACATAGGGAAGTCAGTTTGGAGGAATGAGGCTGAACCTCAGCTCCCACTGCCTGTTGACTAAATTTCTTTCTGACATCTTTTTTCAGCTTTCTTGGTTGTTATGGAGGGTGCTTAAGAAGAGTTTCCTACGTAGGGAAGTCAGTTGAAGGAATGAGACTGAACCTCAGCTCCCACTGCCTGTTGACTAAATTTCTTTCTGACATCTTTTTTCAGCTTTCTTGGGTCTGTAAAGACAAAACATATGAAATTAAGGTGTTGTTTGGAAAGGACTCCATTCCTGATCCAAGCAGATGTGCACAAATCCTCTTTTGTAGCATATATTCCATCTCTCCTACAACCCAGATGAATGACTATGAGATGATCCAAGTGAGGCAATGTTTTCTGTGTACTGCTCCTTGATTTTTAAGTTGCTTGACTTGCCTTTTTTAAAAAATAGCTTTTATTTTTTCAGGCTGGATGTCCAAAGTACCTTTCACACACTTGAAATCATCAGCTTGTGCTAATGATACACAATTGGTGCTTCAGAAAGCTGTTGACTGGCAACCTGGTGATGAAATTATGGTGGGACGGACAGGTCTTGGAGATTCACAGCAGCAAGAAGAAATGGCTGTTATTGAGTCTGTGAACAACACCAAGCTGTACCTCAGATCACCACTCAGGTATCCTTTCAAGGGCCAAGGGGATTGCTAGAGCAGAGAGCTAAACCAGGGGAAAATTTGGTCAGTGTGAGAATTTTTAGTTTCCTGTGGGACATAATATATACAAACCCCTTTAAAAAAAGGGGTCAGAGATAGTTCCTGGCAACCCCTAAGGCTGATGGATGTTCAGTCTTGAATATTTCTGATTATGTTTAATTTCTGTATCATAACCAGGAACTCTCTAAACCTCTGAAGCAGAAAACCTTATTGACCAGTCCAGTCCAGTGGTCTCAGCATAGAGTTGACAAAGAATTTTCCTGCATAATTAATTTCTTGAGAAAACACAAGTTTCTTTTTCACAAAAATTGTCTGACTTCTGTAAAAAAAAAAGAAAAAAAAGTCCTGCCTTCTTGTCTGATTTACTTAAGGTGATTCACAACACACTCAAAGTGCATTCCTTCAGTTTGGAAATGCTGCTCCTGTGTTTTCAGTGAGCCTTGTGCTCTTTTTGCCCTCTGTGAGTGGAGAACTTGGAAAAACTGTTCCTTGTCATCATCACTGGAGCCCTGCTGTTGAAATGTGTTAGCTGTTTGAGTGGAAACCCAACTCCAGTGCCCAAGAAGACTACTGGTATCATCTTCAGAAATATTGGGGGTTGGAGGAAGAAAGCACTGATGTTTTTCACCAAAATATGTTTTGGGAAGATGAAGGAAATTTAAAGACTAATGTATTTTGGTGTAAAAATACATGGTCTAAGGAAAATTTGTGAGCTTGAGAGACAAAAAGATGAAAACAAACATCAGCCAAGGAAAATTAGATCTGGGTCATATACGCAGACACATTGGATATGCGTCTGTGGTGAGAAGAGGACTGAACCCAGCTCTGAATTTGGGTGGTTGGAGTCCTAAGATTAAGCTAAACATCATTCTTGCCTTTTTTTATGCCTTTCCCTAGGCACAGCCACAGCATTGGAGAGGGATGGGTGAATGGCCAAAGCCTTTCCTCGAGTGCCGTGGTGGCACTGATGAGCAGAAGGGTTGTTGTTCAAGGAAATGTCACTATGGAGAGGATGTCACACCTCAAACACTGTGCAAGAGCAGCTGTTGCAGGAGGTGAGGAGATCTTTTCTCACCCAAACGCACTGAGGAGGAAAATTGCTCCATTAAACTCAATCTGTGGTATCACTGTGTATTAGAAACCTTTTTTAATAGGATCACTTTAACATACCAGTGCCAGGAAAGGGAGTTTATCTTTCCAAACACTGTTTGACATTGAAGTGTGAAGTCTTGGGAGTTGAACTGCTTTTCATTGTAATATCTCCAATGTATTATTTTCACACTGTTGTTTCAAGCCGTCTTGGGAAAGACCCTTTGGTTTTCCCTGAGCCTAAGGGTGTAGAAAAGAAAGTGTCTTCTGAAAACACATTTCAGTGTACATAGTATATTAAATTTTTAATTGTGTTTACTGTTTAGTCACTTTAAAAAGAAGGGAAAACAAAACAGCTCAGTGCTGTTTGCACTCTTTAGTGTGAGATATTGAGATGTGGTTTAGTGTTGAGGGATATCAAGAAAAAAAAGAGGTGATTTCTTGTAGAATATAGTAACAATGGTGAAACAATGCTAGGTATCTCAGATCTCCTTTGGTTTTACCTGTATGAAACACTATGAAGTCTGGCAGGTGGCTTCTTGATTTGCACCAGTCACTAAGGAAGCAGAATCAGACACAGTGATTATAATTTGAGGAGAGTTAGGTTATCTGGCAACCCAGTTGTAAGGCTTCCTTTAAAAATAAAATGCCTTGGGCTTTCAGACTGTGACATAAGACTTCATTTGATATCCAGCAGCCAACTGCTTATATTACTCATAGATTTATGGTCCATTTTCTGTGGAACTCATAAATATAGTCTCTGAAATGTGCTAACCATTTGAGGTTTTTATTTGAGTTAAAGGATAGGAGGATTTCTCAGAGGAGTCACCAGAAGATGAGTGGGCAGTGGGTTTTGTAGTTAATTTACCTTCTTTAAATGAAAAACGAGCATGACTGAGCATAAGCAGGCAGTGCTGGCATTTGAAATCCCCTCTGCACCTCCACTGAACGAGCCCAGGTTGTACGTTCATAGCCTGAATCCCTTGTACCAAAATATCCTAAGCATAGACCCATGGAAAGATGCCTTTCAGGAATGTTGATTCCTTCCTCAGACGTAAGATTTACTTCCCTTGTCTTCAGACCGTGGGCAGTAACATTTCCCCACCCACCTGCAGGGACGGTGGGGAGAGCAGGAGCTTTAAAGACATTTCAAAATGTTCTCATTTCGGTTTAGTTCGGTACATCCGTGCCCAATCTCCTTTTCAAGAGCTTCACCCAAGTTCAATCAATGTCAAATCCATCTTCCCCATGCGTAGGACTATTTAAAATCGAACACAAGGAACTTTCCAAGGCATAAAACTACCAGAGCTTCCTGCTGGTTTTAATATAAGTTCCTTTAAAAATGTCCAGACTCTTATGGAATGAGCCATGAGAGTATTTAGAGGGAGTATCAAATACGTTTGCCCATGGGTGTGTGTCTTTGGGCCCATATTTAAGATCCCTGCTGGAGATGGAGTCCCACTGAGTCCATGTGGTGGGTCTTATGATGTTGCTTGAGGCACTCTGCACATCCCATGGTCACCATGGAGAAACAACATCCACAGCTCCTGCTGGCTTGTGTTCTAGGTGGCTCCAGGTGTCTGTACAAACGAAGTGAGAGGCAGCTGGGATCTCGGGACCTGGGGGTCATCGTGGTTGTGGAGACCTTCCAGGGAGAGGAGAGCCGGGTCCAGTTGGAGGGAGTCCAGTTCCGCCACGTGGGTCAAACGTTTCGGCAGCCCCTCAGTGCCCTGACTGTTGCTGGCAACACACGGATGGCAGGTGAGAGGTTTGCTCTGGAGGTGGGCTGGAATCTCTAATGTCTACCTTTTTCTGACCAAAGCTAGGGCAGATGTCCTCAGAAGTCTGCTGCTTGTAGCACTAATATACTGTGAGGGAGCCCAGAGGTGGCTCAGGGTTGTCTGGCAGGATGGACCAAAATTTAATTCTATTACTTAAAGAACATATTAAGTTCTTTTGACATTGTCACTGGTAAGTGCAAAATTTGTCTCTGTGGAAGTGGGAAGGAGAGCTCTGAAGACTGGTGGTGAAGGCAGTGAGTTAAGTGGGCCAGAATAATGTTTTAAGGGTACTGGATGGGACTTTTCCCTCCAGCTAAATCACACCTATGTGTTCCCTAGGCCATCTTCATCCTTAGGCTTCTTGGTGGCAGGAGGCAGCTCTAGCCATGATGCTAGAGTACAGTCACTGTGCCTGGCTAAGCAAGATGTGCAAGACATCTACCCTGTCCTCACTGCCTTTCTGAAATGTGCCTCCTCCCTTTCAATCCCTCTTCAAACATCCAGTTGCCTGAGCTCATAACATACTTCACTTTTGGGATCTTACTGGATCTCCTCCTCCTTCCTCACTGTTGCAGACCATCTCCACTAACCCATTTCAGCACTTGGGACCCCTCTTCTCTACTGTGCCTGTCCAGCGACTGGACAAGGGGAAATAGTTTTGAACTGAAGGAGAGGAGGTTTAGACCAGATCTTAGGAAGAAGTTCTTCATTATGAGGGTGGTGAGACTCTGGAACAGATTGCCCAGAGAGGTTGTGGATGCCCCTCCCTGGTTGTGTTTAAGGCCAGGTTGGATGAGGCTTTGAGCAACCTGGTCTAGTTGAGAGGCATCTTTGTCCATGGCAAGGAGGTTAGTTTAAATATCTCTAGGGTCCCTTCCAACCTCATCCATTCAATGATTCTGTGATTCTCAGCAGTGCCCTGCCAGGTGAGTAAGAGCAGGTAGATGCAACCAAGCAGTCTCATGGGAGCCAAAAGCATCAACTGCACAACATCACAAGATGAGGAGCTTGTATAAAACTCCCCCAACCTTCAAGTTACAAGGTGGTCTCTGCTCATTTCTTTCCAGACTCTTACATACGTGGCTGTTGTGTTGTGGACTCCTTTGGCCAAGGACTCCGGCTGACTGGGGTCTCAAACCTTAGCGTGGACAGTAACGTTTTCTACAACATTGCAGGCCATGGGCTTCTCCTGGGTAAGCAAAGCAGGAAAATAAACATCCAACATGTGCTGATTATCATTTACATGAAAATGCCTTTAGAGGAAAGGATGGCAGATCCTTAACTGCATCCTGAGAACTTTAATCACATCCTCTGCATCTTTTTGTATCAGTAAATCTGGAATAAAACTCCTACGATTCCACATGTATCTCCTAGCAGCTGCTTCTATTTGACCATACACTTGTTTCTTCAGGTCAGTGTCCACTTGACATGGATCTTTTGGCTTTTTTTTTCAGTGTACAAGTGGAAGGGGAGTGTTTTAGGGGATTGATTTATCTGTCTTTGGAAGAGCATGATTATGCAATATTTAAGACCCCAGTTCAGCAAGGCATATAAGAACATACTTACCTTTAACTTCAGTCATTTGACAAGATAATGGAGTGAAAGCATATGTTAAAAGTTAAGCCAAGGATTTAACACTTAAATAAATTGGAGCTTGGAGCAACAAAAATGTTAAACAACAAAATATTTCTCCTAACTAACCATCAGGAGACTGACTGGCAGCATCTTCTGCTGGGATCTCATGTTGCCTGAATACCTAAAGATATAGCTTGATTTTCATTTTCCATCAGAGATGGGATGAACATGACCAGTTTTGAGATAAACAGGGTGTGGGGGGAGAAGCATTCAGTCCTGATCCTGCAGTTCCACACACAGGGCGAGTCCCTGTGCTGGGTCCTGTATAGGAACATAATGAGAAGTGATGGATTATGATTCAAACAGAGGAGACTCTAAAAGGAGAGAGATTGGACACATCTTGAAGAGAACTGGCTCAGAGAGATGCAACGACTCTCCCAAGGTGATGCACAGAGTCCTCGTGGACGTGGGGAAGCAGAACAAGATCTCCAACCTGCCAAGATGCCTTGGCTCACTTGTGCTAGGACACATGTCTGAGTTAAAGGATGCTGGGCTGGGCTGAGCTGAGCTGAACATTTCCACTGAAGTCTCAGAATACACCTTTATCCCCAAGATGCCTCTAATGACTTCACTGTCAGCAGCTCCAGAGGGTCTGAGGGATAAATTTATTTATAATTTTGTTGCCTATAAAAGAATATTTATTGTAGCTGGCTGTTTGCAGCTCCAGAATTGGACTCCCTCAGTGATTTCATCTAAACCCCTTATTTTCAGGGGATTTGCAAGACAGTTGTAAAAATTCGCTCTGGTCTTAACATTAATTGACACCCCAAGACCTTTTATGCCACCTCAAAAACCTATATGGCTGCCAAAAGGACTGCTTTAGGATCCTGTTCATGGACTGGTGATGTTATTGTCTGTTGTAAATACAGCCTAGAAAGGCCATATTTCCTAAATGGATCATGTTCCAAAAATGGAGAAAGGCTCAAAAGATTGAGGGGAAGGCTCAAAATAATTACCAAAGTTCACAAGTTTTCTTGGCAAGTGGCTTACATTTGGAGTAGCAACAACTGGGGAAAGGATCTGCATTTGGAATAGAACTTGAGCAGGTGTAGTTGAAAATAATCTTTTATGTTTGATAAACAAAATCAAATAGATTTAATTTGCTTCTGATATGGGCCAAACAGAGATGATCCACTTTGTATTATGCTTCCAAAACAGTGGAGCAGGGGAGAGAGATATGATGAGTCCATATTCAGGCTTGACCTATATGCAACTGCCCATTTTTTGCCATTGGGTCACATATTTCTTTATGGTGTAGTTTAAAAGGATAGTTCTTTTCTGTTTTTTTTTGTTTCTTCCTACTTCAATACTGGTGCTAGATCTGGAGCACCCCATGACTGAGTTGTGTGATCAATTTTATGATTGATTTTTCTTTTTCCTTCTCAGACTTCATTGTTTACAGGGAGAAACCCCCCACTTTTGTGCAGAGTTGTGCCAGGTGCTTTTAGGCCTATTTAGGAATTTTCTTAACATGTAAGTAGGGCACTGGATGGAGACACAGGAGATAGAGACAACTTTGAATTCTAGTATTGCCAGCAGCATGCCTGTGTGTGTGCATAGGTGTTGCTTCCACGCTCTGAATTTCTCTTTTTTCCAAGTGTAAACATGTTTTATAATATTCTCTTTATTCATTTTCTCCATGGCTGGTGTTATATATAAGACATGATGCAGGGCCATGTGTATGTTAAATTGAAGAATTGTGGTCTCTGTTGCCTCTTTGTAGACTATTTATTGTAGTATTCCTTTCCCTGATTGTTTTTATCTCATTAGAGTGTAAACTTCTTGTGGCAGGAACTGGTTTTTATCATATTGACAGTGTTGGTCAGACCTTGCTGGTAGCCTCCTAACATTTCTAAAGCAAACAGCCTTCTGTGCACCACTGCATTGAGCAGCCATGGTTGTCTTTGACCATCTCATAGCCATCTTCTGCCAAGTGGTAGACAGGTTTCTAAGTGTTTTTCAAACAGTGATTTACCCAGGGGCAGTTAGAAGAGAAAGCTGATGCCCAGGTGGGCCATGACAGCAAGACACAAAACAGGCAGGGCAAAACTCAACGAGTTCTGTGGCTTGTATAACAGGTTTCCCAGTTTTATTTACATTTCTGATTATTTTTCTTCTTTTTTCTTTTTTGGTTTGGTTTTTGAAGAAGAAGGACTCGAGGAAGGAAACAGAGTCAGTAACAACATAGTGATTGGCCTTTCTGGATCAGATGGTTTATCCAATATTGAGACCCTGTCACCAGCAGGGATCTACGTCAAGGCTCCTGTCAACCACATCAAGGTAAGAAGCTGAGGTATAAAACTGAACTTTTCCTTTCTAATCAAAGATAACAGTTATGGAGCTTCGTTTATCTGGGAGATCATATATGGAACACTTGCTTCTTGGCTGAACTGTCAGAAACTGCTTGTGATGGGATATTAAATCAAGTGCATATTGAAAAATAAATTATACTCATGGGCAAATTTATTACTGAAAATTTTACTCTACTTGAGCGAAACGAAATATTTCAGTGTGATGCTTCATCCTGGGAAACTTAAACAAGTTATTTTATTTTCTATTATTTATGGATTTACAAATAATAACAAGATGTTTAGGCTCAGCTTCTCTAGAATTCTTTCCTATTTCTGATGTTATAAAAAAAATCCTATCAATTCTGATGGACTGATGACAAACAAAAACTCAGCAATAGTAAATTTATCTCTGTCTGGATTTAAAATGAGAACTTAGGTCCAGTCCAAGATTTGCCTTCCAGAGTGAAGAAGAATGTACACCTTGTCCTATGAAAATGACATTGATTTTAAAAGAAACGAAGCTTCTCTTTTCTAAATAGTGATAAAACATCAAACTCCTACAAATCTAACAGTCTAACAACCCTCACATCAAAAGGCTGAGCTCAGTAAAAATCTTTTTATTCACTAATTCTCTGATGTTTTCTTTTAGTTTGGACTTTTTTTTGTCTTGTTCAAGCCACTTGCATTTCAGAATAAATAGTCACTTTTAAGTGTTTCAAGGGAAAAATGTATTTTTAGTAATTTGAAACAATTTTTTCCTTCCTAACAGTTTTAAGTCTGGAATATCATTGAAACTGACCTATTTTACCTCAGTCTCAGTTGTGACAAATGCACATTTTCATTAAAAAAATTAAAATAAAACGAGATCCTAACCTGGTCTATTGCTAACTTACAGAAACCAAACCAGGTATTAACTCTATGTAAAGATCTAATCTCCCCTTGGGCTTCTGGCTTTTCCCAGAGGAAAGAACTGCACCTGAATTTGAAGGTGACAAAGAGACAAACACTTCTGCTGATAGTACGAAGGCAATGGCACTTAGGAAGAAGGAGAGGACTTTTCAGCAGTTCCCTCAAGGGCATATGTATAATTTTTAAGACCTTCAAATATGGTTAAAAAATACAACAAGTAGGCAGAATCACATGAATTTCAGCTCCACTAAGCACAGAGTTTTGTACTCTCATGCACTGACTTACCCTGGAGCTATCTGCTCCATCGCCAGTGGCTCAGCTTTGGAAAGGGTTTGTTGCAATTATCTCTGTGGGTCTGTGTGAACTGATTGTGGTTGGGTTCCAGCACATTTGTTGAGCTCTCTTGGTTCACAGGTCTTCACAGATACGCCCAAAGCTGCCTCTGTGGCTGTGTCCCCAAACATCAGGGTTAAGGCTGCTCTCCAGAGATGTGCTACTCAAGGCACAACAGCAGATGGCCCTTGAAGGGTTGCTGATAAACCTCCTTGTTGGCATTTTCTCAGAGAGGGTTATTGGAGGCATTCAGACAGCAAAAGGAAAATGTGAAGAAGTTGCCTAGCTTAAAATTGTTACTAGCTGCACTCACTGCTCTGAGCACTAAGCTGTGCTCAGCAGAAGACATGAAAGGACACAGTTATTAGGAGGAAATGTCACTTCTTCCAAGCAAAACACCCATCTCTGGTGGACTTTTTCTTAGTACAATAATAACCACTAAATGCAAGGGATGCTGGTCCAGCACCAACATCATGATGTTACAGAGGTTCAGCACTTTTTATTGGATCAAATGGCTCAAGGATGGGATATTGATTTTTAGGGAGTTATAATCTTAATATTAATAATGCTTTCATAGGGAGTTTTGAGGAAGGTGATGAGAAAGACTCATCTTCCCACTGCCTCCTGGTTTCCAGACCATGACATGGAACAGAAATTTCCTCCTCTAGATTTTAATGTTGGGTGGTTGTTTTTTTTTTTTTTTTTGGTTTGGTTTGGTTTTTTTCTCTTTGTTTTGTTTCCAAATTGCCATCTTTGAATCACTGGTTATAAACCTGCAGGCTGCAATCTTTAAGGCAAGGTTTGTGGATAAGATAGGCAGAGAGCTCTAGTTCCATACTGTGTTACATCTTCTGTCCATGATGGGTTAAACTTTCCACTAGAAGTCCTGCAGTAATATTTTCATAACTACTCAATATACTTGGGAGCCTGAATTTGCATCGATGACTGAAGAGCTTAAATTTCCCTGAAAATCAGTGGTCTCCTAAACGGTGTTGAAATTGGGACAGAGCAGTCACTCAAACCTGAGACTACAAAGGCACTTGAAGACCCAGTTTCCACTGGTTTCCATTTGACTTAAGCTCTTAAATGCATTTGTGAATCAGGTTGTAAGATAAAATTTTACACTCATACATTAGAAGGGTAAAATGATTAGTGCAAGGTAAATTGGGTGGTTTTCTTTTTTTTTTAAATAAAATACGGAAGCCCTGATTGTCACTTTTTAGTGTCATAAGACAATTTCATTAGCAGGCTGCTTTCTTGCCTTTTAAATGCTGTCAGCATGAGGAGCTGAAGATGTCCCTCTTTGATATTGGCTCTTTAGCCACAGAAGCACGTGCCCTATGTCCTTGATTTTAGTTTTGTGTGTAGGAAAGAAAAATAAAAAGTAGTGTTTTATCTTTTTCTCTTAGTTCTTTAAGGCACAGTGAGTCTTGGACTTTTTGTAGTAATTTTTGTATTCATGAACATTCAGTTCAGTGCTCATGCATAACAACATACAAACTGAGTTTAAGAAATTCATTGAGCATCTTCCCTTTGCTTTCTTGCCATGGTGTTGAGGACAGGGAAACATCTTCAGTGGGGTGGAGATCAGCCCATGTTTCTGTGTCAGAGGAGTGACTGATGGTCATGCTGTTGATAAATGAGTTTTCTTCCCAGTATCACCCCACCCAGACATTCTCCCCAGTACCACAGAGGTCAGGCTCCATCTGTTTGCCATCAATTGTTTCTCACCATTTCATTCCTCCCAACATCTTTTCTAAAACATCCTGCAAGGTGAGCACGCTGTTGAGGGTACCACTCCCATCCTGCCAGGTTCTGAAGCTGGGAGAGTGGTGCTGGGCACGCTCTCCAGAGTTTTAATGTCATCTTTAAGGTCAACGGTTTGAATCCTGGCGATCTAAAAGAAATTCATGAAATATTTACATTAGCAGCGTTGTGCAGTTAAAGAGACACTTAAAACGTCAGGCACTTTATTTTACTGACTCGTGATGCATACCTCCAGGTATCTGACATGCTCAGGGAGGTAATTTCTCTCTGGAATTTTGGTTGCACGGACATTCGTAATATACTGACTTCCACAAAGAATTGATTTCCACACAAAATTCCCTCCTTGCCTAAAACCCCTGCCCTCCAGCCACTGGCTGGCTGAATAAATATGCAGGGTTTTTTTTTTTCTTCCTTATGAATCATCTGTAGAACGCACGATTGGGGTTGCAAGTAAAAGATCCTGGAAATAATGTGACTGGAGTGCAGAAGTATTTTGTTAAAGGGAAAGGGTCTGTGGCTGCACGTTTGGTAGAAGCAGCAGTTTTACCAGGGGATAGAGAAAACAGTGCTTTGGGGTATGATAGTTTGTTGCTTGACAGATGTCAGAGATCAGGACTGCAGGGAACACCCTTGGATGGGTCAGAAGAAAGTGATTGGTGGAGGTGGCTTTCACCTCCGGGTCACCAGGCTCAGCTTTGATTTGGACCACCAGGGAGCAAAAAGTCATTAGTGTTTTAACCTTGTCCAGTGACCTGTGAGTGGTAGTGGTGGGTGTCATGTCCAGTCTTGGAGGACAAGCTCTTCTTATAGCTTCAGGAAACCTCATCTAAGAGTCCCCTTAGAGAACTGGATACCTCCAGAGAGCAATTAATCTTACCCAAGACCAGACCAGAAGAACTGCCCTCTGGACATAGAATCATAGAATGTTTGGGTTGGAAAGGACCACCAAAGGTCATCTAGTCCAACCCCCCTGCCATAAGCAGGGACATCTCCAATTAGATCAAGCTGCTCAGAGCCTCATCCAGCCTGACCTTGAATGTCTCAGGCTTGACGAGGCTCTGAGCCCAAGACATACCTATGCCTTATTTTCTCCTGGAAATGGAACCTAGGTTTACCATCCTGGACTTCAGTGTTAAGGTTTTACATGTCTAAGGTAGGTAAGAGGGATCATGTCTAGATGTGCACATGAAAACTTTGCTATATGGACACCATCCAAAACCATCCAGCTTTGGCTTTGCTGTCCAAATGAAACAGGTGAGAGCAGTTTTTTCCTCCTTGGTGGGAAAGCTCTTAACTCACTGTATCAAACCCACATCACCCACTTGCTACAGACTCTGTAGGTACCAAACTCTCAATTTAAGGTCGGGCAGACCTTATTTTCACTTATTTTTCACCTCTTTGAATAATATAAAGAATGCAGCTCTCTCGTTTCTTCATTAAGAGACATGAAGTGACAATAATTTACAGCATGTCTTCCCATGGTTATTCACCTCCCCTCTTAAAATTAAGTCGGGCAGACCTTATTTTCACTTATTTTTCACCTCTTTGAATAATATAAAGAATGCAGCTCTCTCGTTTCTTCATTAAGAGACATGAAGTGACAACTTACAGCATGTCTTCCCATGGTTATTCACCTCCCCTCTTAAAATTAATCCAAAGCAAGTAATTTGCCACAGGTCTGAGTCAGTTTAGTTGTTCAGCCATGGATGTATCTTGAAGATGTTGTTCTTGGCTTTTAGGGATCTCACTTTTTCAATGGCAATGTTCCCTCTTCCAGTATTTGCTTTGGGAGACAAAGAGAGGAACAGATTGAGAAGTTAATTAATAAACTGAGTGGGTTGTGCTTTATTTTCCTTTCATGACTCAGAAGCCCTACTTAGAAAGGGTTTTATAGGAGTAAGAATTTTTCTGCACACTTTTTTCTTACCCAGTTTTTATGACAATACAATTTTCCTGTCATTTATTTCTATTGCTTGGCCAGTCCTTGTTGCCTGGCTTAAGAACAGGGAATTTCTAAGACTGGCCCAAGTACAGAGTGAAAACAGGATGAAATTGAGGACACAGAAACAAGGTAAGAGCTTCTACCAGCAAAACTTAACAGAATTTGAATGGACCTCAGCTGGAATTTTAGTTTGGGTTTTTCTAAAGTTTATTTTAATTTCCAGAAATCTCTGGCAATCTTTTTTTTCACAGTCACATATGCTTCTCTGCAGGGTAACACAGTGTGTGCTGCTGGGTATGGCTATTTCTTTCATCTCTCCCCTGAGGGACCATCTAAAATGCCTCTCCTATCCTTCAGTGACAACGTAGCTCATTCCTGCACAAGGTACTCTTGGAATTTTTGGTTATAGAGATTTTCCTTCCATGCATGGTTGTGCTAACTAGAATTGCAATGGTGAACAAAAAAAAAAAAGGCTTTGCCCATCCTTTCAATATTGTTTTGGTTTTTTAGGGCTTCCTCTCCACAGCAGAGCAGAATGAATGCTGGACAGCCATGTGCTGGGGCTGTTTTCCAGGACCTGATCATGAATGGTTTCCTTCACACTTTCAATATGGTCTTTTCTTCTTCATTCATAAGCCCAATTTGTTAACTTGCATTTCCCTGTGCTGTTAAGAAGCTCCTCCACTTTTCCCCCCTTGTTTAAATGAACCTGATACAGTTCAAGGTGCCACATTAAACACGTTTCCTCTTCAACCTTTTAACAGCAGCACACAACATTTGCTCATGTCTTGAACTGAAAACTCATTTGTAATCATACCAGACATTTTGAATGGAAGAGGGTGGCAGGCAGGAGAGCAGAGACGTGATTTCTTTCTTACATTCCTTCTTCAACATCTCCTGCAGGCCACCACTAGAGACATGACACTGACTTACTCCATCTGGAGTCTTCTTACTTCCAGATGCCTCATGTCATAGCAGCATGAACACTCTACTGTTAGAATTTGGCCTCTGATTAAGTAAATTGAAGAGACTTTGCACTCCAGGCAGATAAAAGGTGCTGTGTGTACATCAGACATTACATACCTGTTGTTCCTGTAGCATCCAGGAATGGCTTCTGCCTGTACTTCTCTAATCCAGAAATGATAGTAAAAGATGACACTGTGCTATAAGTCATTGGATGGAGTCAACTGAATATTCAGAAATAAATGTGAAGTATGCTCTCCAGCATTACATGCCTAAAATAAATATTGCCATCCACCAGGTATTTATTTTGAGTTAAATGATAAAGTCTCACACAGAGAACTGTTGCAGATTTAAAACTGTAGATACCAGAATGATCAATAGGAAGAAATGGTCTTGAATACATGCATGGAACCAGTCTCCTTTGTTTTCTTCCCTCAACAGGTATGGGTTGCTGGTGTACCCAGAGTATTTGCCAGACAGCCCAAGTGGACCTGTTCAGTTCAACAACTTCACAGCTTGGAGCAGCCAGGGTGGAGCACAGGTACATGTGTCCCCATTGTCCCCTGTGATGCTCAGGACCCACCTGTACACTGACTTCTTCTTTTAAGGCTGCAATTAGACCTCATTTATGGTAAAGCTCTTGTACCTCCATGTACACGTCCTTCAGCTGGAGGCTCCTGTTTTGATGATAAAGCCAGAAACACAACTTGTGTGAGCTCTTCTTCCTGCATCAGTGCTACTTTCATCAACAGCTGGTGGCCTCTGTAATCCTCTAGCATCTCTCTGCCACTGTAATCATGGCAACTTAGACCCACAGAATCATAGAAGGGTTTGGGTGGAAGGCACCCAAACTGATTCTCTATTCTGATTTTCTTTCATACTGTTCTTTTTTTTTTTTTCTTTTAACATGAAAATAAGTGAACAGAATGCAAAGATTTTTATATTATTAATTTGAAGCAGAAACAAGCCACTAAGGGGAGATTTTCAAGTACTAAATATAGATTCAATGTTATTATGTGTTTTTGCACTTCCCATTTGTATGGTATTGTAAGGAAAGCTGAGTTACAAACCAAATATTTTTAAAAAAAACCTTATTATTATTCCTTTATTATCCTTTTATATAGATTTTTAAAAGCAGCAACCTTGAACTCCAACATTTCTGCATTTATGCTTGCAAAGACTTTGGCATTGACATCCTAGAAAGCCTGGGGAACACTTCTGTAGCCAACAGTGTTTTGGTTGGACACTTTGGGCAAAAGGTAAGCACTGCACAAATTGTTTCAATGTCTCTTGAGTTACACAGCAACCCTTGAAACAGGAATTTGGAGAAATAAGAAAGAAGAAAATCAAGAACAGCCCCTGCCCCATAGCACCATGGGTAAAAGATTTTAAATAGATTGTATGTAAAGACATAAATCATAGAATTATAGAATCATTTAGGTTGGAAAAGACCTTTGAGATCATCGAGTCCAGGTGTTAACCCAGCACTGCCAGGCCTACCACTAAACCATGTCCCTCAGCACCACATCTACATGGTTTTAAATACCTCCAGCCATGGTTAATATAGTTTCAGAATGAGGTTTGGGCTGTGATCTGTTTGCTTAGTCCTCTACCTGTCTTCCACTCCTTGGAAAGATGATGCCTTTAGAAGCAGCACCCCCCAAGGGACATTAATTTGGTGGAAAAGCAGAAAACTTGGAGTATCAATACCACTCTCCCAGCCTGCTGGAAATAAGGATTTTCTTTTGCTGGCAGCAGAGAAACAGCATTTGATCAGCTGGATTCTGTGTAATTTTGTAGATGCTCCATTCATACCAGCTGATGAGGAATATGAGATTGCATTCTGCAGGAAAATTCAGATTTTTTTCCAAATGTCTTTTTATTTCAGTATTAGTTTCCAAGATTTAAAAACAAAACAAAAGAAAAAAATCAAAGTCTCTGATTTTTCTATTATGATGTATATTCATGTCTACTCTTTCCAAAACAAAATTCAAAATGAAACAAAAAATTGCATTCCTTCATAATTTACAAGCTGAAGGATTTTAGTAAGATATTAATACGACAAGAGCTATTTTTTCCTCACTCATGTTTCTTTTCCAAGCTTGAAAACCCTTGGAATTTCAAAGAACCTGAATTTTTTAAGAGAAATCATAATTTTTGTTTAAACAAGCTTCACTGACATAGGCTCCTATGTACCTTTTGCTGTAATAAACACCATTTAACCATACACAACTGGGATTAGTGGAGTGGTTTGAGAATAATGAGGAGGCACAGCAGATCTGACTTATATCCTCGTTGACATTCTGGTTTCCTTTTCTCTCATTGGTCCACCTGGAACACAGAATGTTGCTTATTTACTTGGGAATGAAAAACATTGTCAAAATGTAACATTTTTATTTATGCAGTAAATATGATTTCCTTCCATTATTTCTTTAGGCAGCTGGACAAAGTCCTTTGGGTGCTACCAGGTTGTTAACAGATTAATAACATGGATAACAATGGAATTTTAGTTACAACTGGCCACAGCTGCTTGTTTGTGATTTTGAGGGCTTTTTTGCCCTGCTCTATTTTCTGTTGTTGTTCATGAAATTAATTTTCTCTCTGACTGGCAGAAAAAGAGCTTTTAAATGAGTTTTCTTTAGAAGCTCACAGAAAAAAAAAACCCTCTGTAGTTGATCTATTGAATGTATGTAGCTCAGATATAATCCTGGCCTCACCTGTCCAACCTTGCAGCATCCCAAACACACTTTTGGACACCAAAGGGTGGATGTCTTTGTTGTTGCTTTGCAGGATCCACAGAAGACTCCGTTGTTGTACTTGTTAAGAGATTTAGAGGCTCTCAGCTGTGCCTTGTTTCTTGCAGTACCCCACGGGGGTGATTATCTTTGATTATCTCATGATAAGAGCCTCCTTGTCATAATTTACATCTTAATTTATGTAATTCTCCCTTTCATAATGATGTCTCTTTAATATCAATTAAAAGTTTATGACATTAATTTAATGGGAACCTTGGATATTCCTCTGCTAGCCCTTCCAGTTTTTGAAAGGGGTGTTTTAAAACAAGATTGTTTTCTGAGAATATCAGGGCATTTAAAAATCTGGGCTTTGATCAATTAAAACACTAGTGACAAGGCTAGATCCAGGATGTGTAAAAGCCATGGAAAATGCTTTCACTAGCTTCCTAGACATTCAACAAGCCTCACCCATACTTTCATAAAAAACCTCATTGACCCTGTGAAGCCAGTTGAGGAAAAGCATTTCTTCCTGAAAAAGCAGGTCTGAGACAGATGACACACTCTAGGGAGGAATTATCCTCTCACACCCTTCTATTTGCTACTTATCTAAATAAAATAAATTAAATTAAAAAAAAATAATAGAATGATAGAATAGCTGAGGTTGGAAGAGACCCTAGAGATCACCTAATCCAACCTGTCTGCCATGGACAGGGACACCTCCCAACTAGACCAGGTTGCTCAAGGCCTCATCCAACCTGGCCTTGAACACCTCCAGGGAGGGGTATCCACAACCTCTCTGGGCAATCTAGTCCAGAGTCTCACCACCCTCCTGCTGAAGAATTTCTTCCTAAGATCTGGTCTGAACCTACTGTAGAAATGGGATTGTAGAAAAGAGAGGGGTATGGAAGAACGGGCAAGTATAGAGCAAAAATCCAAGAGTGTTTCTGACTGGTTTGTTACCAGCAGCCAGAGATTTCTGCTTAGCAGTGATCCGAGGACCAGGACCATCACCCCGGGTGTTTTGGCCTTGGAGTAAAAAGGAACTGCTGTCTCTTAATGAGACTGAAGACAGCACCATCTCTTTGAAGTAGTAAACTATAGAAGTCTATTCAATTCTACATTTTCAGTTAAAGAGGATGTTTTCAGAGTGTAGATTTCCCCACTGATTCTCTAGGATGGCTGTTGAGAGTTGATCTACTAAAACATTTGTTGGCCTCAGAAAGAGCACCATGTACTCCTGCCAGCCTTTTCCCCTCCAGGCTACCCACCAGCTCTGAGCACATCCTTCTTCCCAGCCTTTCTCCAGGACCAACTGGCAGGGAGATGTGTACCTCCCCTGTGTCATGGCCTACAATCACCACAAAGTCTAGTTTTATCTGTTGTTTTTCACATCACTTGTGGGTTTTGCTCTTCCTTTTAATGTCTTCTATTTTATCCTGTCTCTCACATATATCATGATATACTTCTTGTTGCTCTGATGGACCTTGAAGTCAACCAGAACTTTGAAGGGAGCCCAGTTTAAATAATTCCCCCATCCCCAATCACACAAAAGGGTTTTGAATCTCAGCAGTCAGGTTTTTCTTAGAATGGAATATACAATGATCAGCTTTGTAGAGCAGGGAAATTTCCTGCTGTTGGACAAGACAAGGTAAAGTCAAAGGGACCATAAACAGTTCTGCTCACTGTGCCTTCCAGGTGGATTCTTTCTTCCCAGGGAATGTGCAATTT